ATCCCCCCAATCTTCATGAAAACTACTATCATTCCGTTATCACAGTATTGGTTCGTCAGATACAGAAATCCTCAATCTTCACGAAAACTACTATCATTCCGTTATCATAGTGCTGGTTTGTCAAGTGCAGGAATCCCCCCAATCTTCATGAAAACTACTATCATTCCGTTATCACAGTATTGGTTCGTCAGATACAGAAATCCTCAATCTTCACGAAAACTATTATCATTCCGTTATCATAGTGCTGGTTTGTCAAGTGCAGGAATCCCCCCAATCTTCATGAAAACTACTATCATTCCGTTATCACAGTATTGGTTCGTCAGATACAGAAATCCTCAATCTTCACGAAAACTACTATCATTCCGTTATCATAGTGCTGGTTTGTCAAGTGCAGGAATCCCCCAATCTTCATGAAAACTACTATCATTCCGTTATCACAGTGTTGGTTTGTCAGGTGCAGAACCCCCTCCCCCCTCCAGTGTTCGAGAAAACTAATATCATTCCGTTATCACAGTGTTGGTCTATCAGGTGCAGGAATCTCCACAATCTTCATGAAATCTATTATCATTCCGTTATCACAGTGCTGGTTTGTCAAGTGCAGGAATCCCCCCAATCTTCATGAAACCTACTATCATTCCGTTATCACAGTGTTGGTTTGTCATGTGCAGGAGTCCCCCCAATCTTCATGAAACCTACTATCATTCCGTTATCACAGTGTTGGTTTGTCAGGTACAGAAATCCTCAATCTTCATGAAAACTACTATCATTCCGTTATCACAGTGTTGGTTTGTCAGGTACAGAAATCCCCAATCTTCATGAAAACTACTATCATTCCGTTATCACTGTGTTGGTTTGTCAGGTGCCGAAATCCCCCGTCGACATTAATATTTTTTATGGACTATACAACACTACAGAAATTCATGTCAATATTTTTATAGAGTATATGATACTACAGAAACGTATGTATGTATATGCACCAGGCATGGAGTATTCCTATTCGATATTTTTCGAATATATTCGAATACAACTTTGGTAGTAGTATTACTTGTATTCGTATACTTTGGTAGGGAAAGTTAAGGTATTCGTATTCGAATTCAATGACATAATAATGATATTCGCTGATTTTATTTAGTGACTACTTGATATTATAAGAGTAAATGTCAAATTTTGCACTCATCAAATTTCTAGATTGTCATTATTACATCTGCAACACTTGAATATTTCCACGGGAAACTTTTCCGTGAGAACGAAGTTTGTACTGAAAAAGAAAATAAACAATTTTCTGTATAGAAAAACATAACATAATACGTAATGTAATAGATGAAACTGTTTATCTTTCTATTGGTTATAAATAATGTAGTATTGAACGTCAGAGAGAACTATTGACAAATCCTGAAAGAGAAGATGTGACAGATGGGTTTGGTAAGAGGGGTCTGGTTTTTTAATAATGCTTGGAGACTGTTTGAATCAGGTGATGATGACAAAACCTTGTCGAAACGTTGTACATTTGCTGTTATGTTAAACTTATATTAAAGTTTTTCTTCATTACCCATTCAAGCCGTCTCCAATCATTATTAGTCTCAAAGTGGGTTCCTCGTCATCGAATTTGAATTCATCACGGGTCTGGTTTTCTATTTGATGGCTATGTAACCAAAGAAAATTGTAGCTAAGAAAATTATGCTTTGTTTGAGTGGTGACGATATTATAGTAAGTAGTTTTCGTTAAATTCTGTAGTTCTTGGAGAGGTGGTCAGAAGAGAATATGTCTACGGAAAAAGTCACATTTCTCACACTATGGGAAATTCAGGATATTTTTTAATACTGCCTTATAAAATTAAAACTTAAAACTTTTATACTATTAAAATATGTTCTATTAGCTACGATTTTATGCTATACTAATCGGTATAATATGAACAAAAAGTAGTTTAATTAAGTGTTGAGTGTAACTTAATGAAAATATCATGACATGCGCAGTAAAAGGTGCCTATGGCAAGAGAGTTAAATCAGGTCAATACTTAAAAGTTATTCTATTACATGGTTATTAATCCAATCAAGTCACTTGAGATAATTTAATGCAAACAGTCATGCTGGCATGTCGGCGTTTCAAGGGGCATCACACATCTGATAACATTGCACAATCAATGTGATGAAATAATAAATCTCTTTAACATCAACAACAAGGTTTCACACGATTTCCTGGATTTGAACCACAAACACTACCTAGTGTGAAATATGGTGATCACTCATCTACAGATGGTGATATCTCATCTACAGATGGTGATCACTCATCTACAGATGGTGATATCTCATCTACAAATGGTGATAACTCATCTACAGATGGTGATATCTCATCTACAGATGGTGATAACTTATCTACAGATGATGATAACTCATGTACAGATGATGATAACTCATGTACAGATGGTGATAACTTATCTACAGATGATGATAACTCATGTACAGATGGTGATAACTTATCTACAGATGATGATAACTCATGTACAGATGGTGATAACTTATCTACAGATGAAGATAACTCATGTACAGATGGTGAATCAGAAGACGAACTTTTGGATGAATCCAAATCCGAAGACAGTTTATCCGAATTTCTTTCTCAACATGACCCCTGTTTTTCCCAAATGTTACAACATGTGGTCAGGAATGGCATAAAATAGCTGGACCATTACTGAAAGCAATTTCCAAAGCATCAAACATTGTATCCTACATTCAAAAATCAACGCTGCATCTGATGTACTTAAGGGAGAGGCCAGAGTTCAGTCGGTAACAGCAACACGATGGAACTCAGCAATTACGATGATTAAGTCTTTATTGAAGATTTTCCTGGAGAAGTTGGATAATCTAGATACTGTTACATCGAAACCTACTTTTCATGATCGAACTGTGCTTGAAGATTTGGACATTGTTACCTCCAGTTATGCCATGTGTTTATGGGCTGATGACTGAGACTGACAGCATTCAGTCTAGATATAATTTCAATCTTGTCTGCACTGAAGAAATTTGTTCACTCCCGGCTGACTCACTATGAACAACGAACTGTCTCCTGTCTGGCTGCGGCATTGGATCCCAGATATAAACTTGACTGGTGTTTCACTAGACCCATGGTCTATTAATCCAATCGAATGATCCTGCAGCAAGAAGTCAAGAAAGTTTCCTCTACAAATTATCCTACAACAATGGAACCAAAAGAGGACTGTACACCCCTCCCTCACAAGAAAAGTAAGCTCATCTTCAGAGGAAACAGAGATCAACACCTACCTCGATGGTCCTTGCATTCCTGAAGAAAGGAACCCTCTAGATTATTGGAAGCTACACGATTTTTTACCCTATCTTTACTAGCCAAACGCTACCTGAGTGTCCTAGAATCTTCTGCGTTTGTTTAGAATCGGAGGCAAAACCCTCAGAAATGATCGCTGCCGTCTCACTGACAAGGCATTTGAGAGACTGATGTTCATAAAGAACAATGGACAGTTATAATATCTATAAGTCTGCTTTAAAGATATATTTCTGTTCTTAAACTTTGTTACTGCATTTTGAAAAATAAAAGTATTGAGATGTTATTATTTGTTCAAATTCTGTTTGTTTCAGTTTCTCAAATGTTTGTTTCATAAAATAAAACTATTGAAATCTTATCGTCTGCTGCTTTATCATTCTTGTATATTATCTGACAAAGTATTCATGAATACTTTGACAGGTAATATACAAGGTGGGGCGCGCGTATAACCGATTCGATTCTATTATTCATCAGGATCTATACCAATCTACCACCACATTTAATTATATACCCAACATAGTGCATCATCTGTTATATATTTTTATACTAGTATCCTTTCTGGCACAAGAATGGAATAATTGAGACCCCAGACGGAAAAGTTCTATGAAGGAATTAGAGTGATAAGGTCCGTCATTTTTTCTGTACACGTGTCTGGAAAAGTCACTTACTTAGATGAAGATTCGTTGAAATAGTGAAATTTTGATTCACTTCATAAACACATATATAAGGATTTAGGCGGCTTGATAAGTATAATAAGCTTTAGTTTTGTTCAGACAAAACTGTTAACTAATCATTGTTAATATTCAGACGTTTTAAAGTTGGTTTTAAACGGGCGATCATTATGGCCGCCATTTTCTTTCATCACGATCCCTACTATTAAGTACTACCATACCATAACTCAGCGTATAGTTCTGCATTAGGAAACTATATTTCCTAAGCAGGAAGTTTTCGAACCCTGTCTCGACAAAATAATATTCAAACTTATAATGGTTTTTCACTTACATCTTTCTCAGATCGATCTATAACATAGATAGTTTACTTAGATTAATTTGAAGATTTGTTTACTAGTAGATTCTTTTCTGTGGCGTCATCTAGTAGATTCTATGAATACATTTCACAAATTGCCCTGATATTTCGGACACCGATTTTGTACAATTAAAACAGTTTGCGAGGTTAAGCGACACAAGTGACAAATTACGGAAGTCACTCAAACATTTTATATTAATACTACAATAGATATAATATATGTTTTCATACCCTTTGTTCGCTATAAATGGGATAAAATTCGTGAATGTAAAATAAATTGATAGAATGTTTATCATAATTCATTCTCTAGAATTACATGAATCCACTTTCACGTGCACGTCTGAATCTCTGTAAAATCTACTATGTAACTACTATACGTTTCTTTTTTCGGATTATATGTATATATTTTGAAACCCATGTTTAATTATTCTAACACATCATCTTAAAACACATGTTTAATTATTCTAACACATCACTTGAAACCCATGTTTAATTATTGAAACACATCACTTGAAACCCGTCTTTAATTATTGCAACACATAACTTTAAACCCATGTTTAATTATTGAAACACATCACTTGAAACCCGTCTTTAATTATTGCAACACATAACTTTAAACCCGTGTTTAATTATTGAAACACATCACTTGAAACCCGTCTTTAATTATTGCAACACATAACTTTAAACCCATGTTTAATTATTAAAACACATCACTTGAAACTCATGCTTTGAAACAACAAGAATGTTGCACCCTTTTAACAGCAACTTGTGAAACAATAAGAATGCTACACTTACGTTTCCTACACTTTTTTGACTTCCATGTCTCTTCCAATACGAGTTCATGAATTCTTCACTACACGTAACACCGGCCTTTAGTGGGAAAATGTCGTAAACTGGTCATATTTGGACTATCTAGTATAGCAAAATAAAACTTGATATACGTGTCTAATGACCGAAACAAAATCCCATTTTCATACAGTTTATCTTAATTTCCATCAGAAATACAACATTGAATTTATGTAGAAATACTTGAAAGTTCAAAATTATTAAAGGAAAATTTGTACTTCTTATTTCACAATAATTTAACTCTTTTAGCAACAACTTGGAAAACAACAAGAATGTTGCACCCCTTTCAGCAACAAACCCTTTTAACAGCAACTTGTAAAACAACAAGAATGTTGTACCCTTTTAGCAACAACTTGTAAAACAACAAGAATGTCGCACCCTTTTAGCAACAACTTGGAAAACAACAAGAATGTCGCACCCTTTTAACAACAACTTGGAAAACAACAAGAATGTTGCACCCTTTCAGCAACAACTTGTGAAACAACAAGAATGTTGCACCCTTTTAACAGCAACTTGGAAAACAACAAGAATGTTGCACATCAAATGTAGATATCTCTCCAGAAATATTGTGTTATATATGTGTATATCTAATATAGATACGTCTCCAGAAATTTCTCGAAATTACGTATGTCACATTAAATCAGTTGAACGTGCACACATCTTATTAACTGTAGTTTTCCAGGACTCTTTTAGCAGCAACTTGTAAAAACAATAAGGGTGTTGCCCATGTGTACACCAAATATAGATACATCTCCAGAATTCACACCCATATACCTGTTAAATATGTGTTCATCAAATATAGATACATCTCCAGAATTCACACCCATATACCTGTTAGATATGTGTACATCAAATATAGATACATCTCCAGAATTCACACCCATATACCTGTTAAATATGTGTACATCAAATATAGATACATCTCCAGAATTCACACCCATATACCTGTTAAATATGTGTTCATCAAATTAGATACATCTCTAAAAAGATTGTGTTATACACCAGTACATCAAATATAGATACATCTCCAGAAAGATTGTGTTATACATGTGTAAATTCACACCCATATACCTGTTAAGGAGTTTTGAATATTGATTTTTAATTTTTTTGTTTGTGAAATAATTTCTTTGTGAGTGTTTTTTGGTTCTCTAATTAGTTCTCTTTCTGTTTCTTATGAATCGCTGATGTCATTTATCAAATAAATTCAAATAGCTAGCTGAAACCCTTACCGGTAGAATTAGGTCCTGTGAGCTCGTTTACGTCTGTCCTGTATGACACACGCACCTCCCGTAGAAGTCTGTGCCACCACCAAGAGTTACACCTTAAGCCAAATTGGTAGAACACGTTCGTCGACATCAACGCGTGTACCGTTGTTTTAAAACAATCGTTATAATTAGTTTCATTTCCCAGGTCTCATCTTTTTTATAACTAACAACGTTGTGTATATGAAAATACATATATGTGTAATATGAATATCTGTTATCTTATACTTCTCAGATTCATTTTACTTATCTATTGTACCATTCTTTCTCTCGCACAGACGTAGAACATCGAACACAACGCGCGTGTCAGTATTTACACAAAAGCAGGTCACAATGTATTCAAATACAGCAGACTAAGGGTATTGTACTGGCCTCTGGAGAGAAGTTAAATTATTGAAGTAAAACAACTTATTGAAGCGTGTAACCGTTGTTTTATTGTTCCTATTAATGGAAATAACTCTGAGAAACATTACGAAATTATTTTCTATCAACATCGAAATGTTTACAATTTACGACTTTCCTTCTTGTGACAAACACCACAACTACGTTTATCTTCGTTGAATAAACACACAATTGAAAAGGATTTACATTTATTACTAGCAGAGGTAACTGATAATGCCGATATTAAAAACATTATGCTATAAATGAGGGAATGGTCCTCCTCCTTACACTATTTTGAGCCATAGCACCCAAACAATTCACTTTCCTTACTCGTCATGTATTTTCCTACCAATTTCCTAACTTAACTGAGCACTTATTCACTCATCCATTTGAACTCGATCCAGGAGGGGGGCTCACTTGAGCCCCTTTACCAAATGTCATCAAACATTCTTTAGTCAGTTCTCCACCACAGCTTGGGGCACCAGACGGACAGGTGAACAGAAAATTACTTGTCCTGAGAAGTGTTGTAACAAGACATCTTTTACACAAGGGTCCTTATGTAACTACAACCAGTTTAATATGTAAAGATAAGGATCCTTCTACGTAGTAACTACAACTAGTTTAATATGTAAAGTACGTAGAAGGATCCTTATGTAACTACAACCAGTTTAATATGTAAAGTACGTAGAAAGATCCTTATGTAACTACAACCAGTTTAATATGTAAAGTACGTAGAAA